TCCAGATAGTGATGTTCTTCTGGGCATATCATAATGGTATGTTATGTGCCAGAACGGTTTCATGATGCCGTAATGTCGTTAGACTAACCTATACTGATAGATAAAACATCAGCAAATCTTACATAATATCTCAGCATAAATCATTAATCTGTAAGATAAACGATGTGGTTTTGACGTCTTTGTATTTATAGCTAGCTTGCTGACATACCTGGTGCTCCATCAATTAAGTTAACGACATCTTGATCGTCAGTTTTTTTAAAACCTCCCTGGCTAAAAACACAGCAATTAAGGTTGAACTACATCAAGAGGGAACTAGTCAAAATATTGGTCTTAGAATACTTACCATGCCAAAGCTTTGTGAGGTGCATCGTCGTTTTCTCTCCACAATATATGATGAAGAAGAGCCATGAATTGGAACCATTTGATTACCTGTGTCTATATAATAGTATGATAAGCTGTTTGTAAAGCTTAACTACTAGAGTATTCCAGTATAATGAGATACTGACCGACTGGCATAGTCTACCAGTTGTTTACTAATACTACTGACGTACAAAGGAAATCAACTTACTTTATATTTTAGTGTACATATACAAGTTTTCAAAGTACATTCATGCATTGTTCTGTTGTAGGATGGCATATATTAAGCTACTTAAACTTATTTTAGTGTACATGTCCAAGTTTTCAAAGTACATTCATGCATTCGGTTCTGTTGTAGGGTTGTATATAAATCTATCTAAACTCCTTATTGTAGTGCGATGGTAGTAGGATGGTACAAGCTTAAACTTATTTTAGTGTACATGTACAAGTTTTCAAAGTACATTCATGCATTCGGTTCTTTTGTAGGATGGTATATATAAAGCTATTTAAGTGAGGTGACTGTATTCACACTATCATAATTAAGCTTCTATTGATACATTTTATCTTTTCAAAACATTTTTTTCTCTTTATCGAATCGAAGGTTTTATTATGACCTACAAAATTCTTGGGTTCACTATTCGTTTTAATATTTCCTTAGACATTTTCAATAATTAAAAAAATGACATTTAAAAAACGGGTAGTGCAATGAATAAAGATTGTGCTATAAAGATATCGAGATATTGAATTCCATATGTATTGAAACGATTTGTCTGTGTTAACAATGTCATCATACCCCATAGTAAGTAATAATTAAGTCATTATAACTACCACATTTAACTACCATTTAGCTTTCAAAATGGTACTCACTTAAGAAGATAAAATTAATTTGTCTCAAAACAATTTAACTCTTAAAAGCATTGACGGCAGACGACGTCTTAGTTGGAGTTTGATCATCTTCCAGGGTTTTTTAAAGAAAAAATTGCATGATGAGTCAATGAGTTATTATAATATAAACTAGCCCATCAAATCCCATTTATGGATCCTTTTTTATCCTATTAAGTCGAGAACTCTTTATTTGAACTTTCGAACTATGTTGTTTATTCAATTTCCATTTTTTATCCTTTTATATATTTTTTATAATTACAAGTGATTACTGACTCTCTGATAGACTTTGTCGGCAAAATAAGATGTTTCAGTCGACTGACTTCTGCTGAAAGAGCTCTCAAATATTCGTGTTATGGACGTCTAGGTCTTTATTGAATTTCCAATTATACAAGTACATTAATATGCATATAACGACTTTCTGTAAGAGCCTAAATAGGCCTTTCGAATTCTGTATAACATGATTTAAATTCAATCAGAACGGTGAATGAAAGCAAAAATGGCGCTGCCACCTGTTGAGCAACACAGCTGAATCTGTGTTCGCGGGCCTTTCTTCATTTTTTGTTCGTGGAAATGTCTTCAATGTCCACATTAATTGAAATGCCCAACTACTGACAATATTATGAGCTCATCACCTCTTAAAATATCTAATAAAGGATCTATTTTTAGCCAAGAATTCATAGACAGGAAGCTCATTCAAAACGAGTCCTGTCCTTGAAGTAGGCCAAGAGCGTTCATAAATCCAGGTCCTTGTGGAACACTATTTCTGCAGAATGATCAGGCTGCTCGCCTTGTTAGTGCAATAGCCAGTCTCAGTTAGGAAATGTGTATTATAGTGCAAGGCTAAACTGGTGTTACAATGCACCTAAAGACAGATTAGATCTCAGGAAGACGATCAAACCTCCAGCAAGGGATTTGCTTCTTAGTCAAAGATAATGCTGGTTGATAAATGTTATCAGATTATTATCGTAACGTTTTTAAGACTTAGTAAACTTACTATATGAAAGGTCACTAAAAACCTATAGAAACGCAAAGTCTTCATGAATAAGAAATGAAAAGTAAATAAGAGTAAAAAATTTACATGACACTGATTAAAAGCAGGTTTGTGGAACTCCTTTGGAATTGACTTTCAAGTACATCGCTTTCAATCATCATTTTATAAAAATAGTTTATAGATTACAAAGGTTATCAGTTTGGAAAATCCTTTATTATTAAACATAGCTGTTTTAAATTTAGATCATATAAATCAAGTAGTGCTGATCAGTTACCCTCGATTCACCTATTTCTGACTGCCTTCCTAGTGGATGGATGTGCCCATTGCTTTTGGTCTAAAACAATTTGTTGAGTCTTGTCCTCTTGAGAAATGCAGTTGATCAAATACACCAGGATTCCGGTTCCTATACATCAATTAAATAACACCCATTCCTTGCACTACTGCCCTACCTTTGCGTGGGGTATAATAGCTGCTCTTGTTCGCCAGACTTGATATTATATTCCATATTGAACGAAACTTTTTATTCATTTAAACAATCCTTTCCAACTATTTCATGCTCGTTCTATAAAATGATATAGTTGAGTCAACGATTAGTCTATTAGGCCTGCCAACTACAATGGAAATGAGTTGTCAATCAGGTTTACAAAGAAATAACAAAGCTGAACGATTTGATCTCGATCGTTGCAAACGAGTTGAACTGCAAATTTACTATGTATACTTTATTATTTGGTAGAGTGGCTAAATTCGGGACTTCCTAAAAAACAGAGATATAGAAATTGTCGATTCACGATCATATTTCTAAATCTGAGTTTGTAATAAATGCATGAAATTACAAAAACGTTACGGCTTTGACTACATCACCTCTCACCTGGTGTTCTAGGAAAAAAACAGAAAGAAAAGAAAAAAAAAATATCAGGAAGAGATCATGATCAGTTTTATTTCTTGAAATCCATGATCCAGGGGTTGTAATTATCAGGACATACAGTGTACTCTAAATCCTAAAGTATTTCGTTGGATATCTTTATAAGTTGGAGTTAAAAAATTAATCTCTTTAAAAAGCACCAGATAAGCTTGTATTTGACAATCATTTTTTACTTGATTGAATCAAAGGATAAATGTAATTAATATGAAACTAAACCATCAACAAATAAAACCTTATTTTAAAGCTTTAAGAAAACATGAAAGAACTATGTCTTACAAAAGGTCCCAAAGGGTCTCTTCTAATCCTATATTTTAATCAGCACAATGATTTTGGTCAAAACATAATTTTTCTGCTGAAATATCAATCTCATTTCCATTTTTTCTAATTGCACGATATCCAATCTTCTAACCTCAAAAAGGAAAATCCCATCTTCTTTTACTCTATTCACGGTTAGCGTTATCTTAATGCTTTTTGTTATAAATTTCGTGCTTGCAACTTGATCAGAACACTAGCTGTGGTAACTGAAAAAACGTTTAGGAAAGCCAAAGAAAAAATGCAATGGAAGAGGAAAATCGGATAAGAGAAAAAAAATAAAAAGCGATATAGAGGGAAATGAGAAAAAAATCGGTCACCTGGACCTACAAGAGTATTGATGACCACAGCAACAATGTTATGCAAGAAATATATATAAGAACAAGAGGCCCCTGTGACGGCTATGCCTACGAACCACTCTTCGATATACTGTATCTAATTTTCTTAAATGTATAAGTCGTCACCAATCAGTGTAATAAAAAGAACCGTCAAATGAAACCAGCAACCTTTTGGTTTAAGTGCATTTTGTACAGAATTTCATAAAGTCGATCACTAATGCCACGCCCTGGCAAAACTGACAAAATCCTACTTAGAAATGATAGGCCTTTGCTGTAGTAACTAAAAACGCGCAGAAAGCAAAGGACAAACGATAAAAAGCTACAAAAAGCTAATAACATGCCACTTTATATAATCCATCATTCAATCAGTCAATCAGACTTTTCTTTCAAAGAGACGTCAGCATTGCCTGTCACTTTGTTTCACATTTTTATTAGAGAAAAACATGTTTCTTTCTGCTGTTTTAGTCCTATGTTGTTTCAATTACTTAATAGTTTTGAGCTTATTATAGAATATCAAAAAGTTTAAGTTGGACAGTTATACCATGAAATTTACTGGAGCTTTGTTCGTAAGTATGACACATACRTTTGTCTTAATAAACTCTTAAAACTTCCGTTTCCTAATTAAGAATCTTATAGCATCATATTCAACCGTTAAAGAGCATGCAGGCCCATCGAGGATTAGATATGTCCATAGATCTATATATGACAGCTACTCTTCAGTAATGACACTATCTTTATTGAATGGATAAGATCTCGTAAACCTCTATTTACTGTCAGCTCGACATTCCATCTCATTCAAAGACGTTCAGTTTGATGTGAAGTCAGTGTTTACTGCTGTTCAGTGAATATCATGTATCGACAATAGAAAAACACATATATCAGTTACCAGCCCACAAACACTGCACGATTAACAGTTTGAACAATTTGTCATTGCCAACTCTACGTACACGTGATTAGGAACGATAGAAAAAAAAAATCGAATATTCAAAACGATTGTGGGTTTTTCCAGCTTTTAATCTTACAGTATTGTGGAGGCTTAGCTTTTTATCTGACGTATTTCAGATGTGAACTGCCTTCAAATCCTCTCAAAATAAGCTAATTGTAAACCAGACTGAGCGAATTTTCATTCAAGCTGAGATCAGAAGCTTATCAATATCAGTTGTCCCTGTAAGCGTTCATCTGGCACGACCCCCACTTCATAATACCTTAACTACACACATCAACAGATAATCCCAACCACTTTTTCCTTTGACTATTTGGCTGGACAAACGGACGCCAAACCAAGAAGAAATCTTTATGAACAAAGGAGTTCATCTTTATCATAGAGAGAGACTTGTCAATTGGGTTGACGACGCATATAAAAGATCAAACTTATCACCCTCTGGAAATAAGGTTCCCTGTCTGTCGTCTGATGTATAAAGGACGTTTGATTGTTTTAATTAGAAACGATACTTATTCTTGGATCAACAACAAACATTTCCACTCAATGGCCTCTTTCTTTTCTGACGTCACCGTGATAACCCTTCAATCCTCACTGAAGAACGATTCGGATAGACTTCGAGATCTCTTGTAACGAGACCACGTACGTTTCTCCACAAGAACTAAAGAAACGTCTAAACTACCTCTATTTACAGATTACGTAAAGGTATTTCACGTAAATATAGACGTGCGCCGGTAAACGTAAGACCATAACCCAGGCTTAACGCCAGAGAAACTGTTGGAAGGAACTAGTTCCACCTTTTGTCAAGCTGAGAAAACCAAGTGAGAGCTTTCTTTCTTCAATCACGAAGTTTCAAGATGCACCAGCCCTATCCCTGGCCAGAGGTACTAGTTAAATACATAGATGTGATTATTAGAATGTGAGTTAATTAGATATCGTTGATTTGTATGGAAGACTGAAAGAGGTAAAGTTAGACATCGAAGAACGTGGTTTCCTCTTGTGGTTGATCCATAGTAATCTCGTAAGCTTTACTCGTATTTGCACATATATCCTACATAAGCTTTGGATGAGCTATCGGTTAAGTTTCACTGAGCTTGTATTACTTTCAAAGCTGAGACAGGCAGTCGACTCAACATCATAGAATAACATATGCTTAAAAACCCAATGTTTTCAAAGCTGGCTTTTATGCGTTAATAAGTAGAGGACGGCGAAAGAACAAGGCAAGCTCTATGCTTGATTCCTATTTCACAATGCATGGCAACTATCACAAAAGCTCGCCACTATTTCATAGAGAGGTTTTTAATCGCGGAATGAGTAGTTGTGTAGATATCAGCCATCACTGTTCAAAGGTAAGAACTCCTGTGTTAGTAATATTGAGTGCTCAGTGTCAAAGTATCCAATGTATCACTCTCATTGAACTTTGTTATATTTCAACTAAATGAATCAAAGCATAGATCGACACTGATCAAGGAAAACCATTTTTCATCGCATATCATAGAAGTTTTATTCATACCAGCATCACTAAACTAGCTCAGTTACGCTTAACTTAATAGATCAGGGCGAACCTATTTTGTTTACAAAGTTCTTTTGAACACACCCAAAAGCTTATTTCTCTTTAATGCATAAAAGTTGTTAGCACATTTCCTGATGCACATACTGAGGGCACCTTGTTCAAGTAGGATACACGCATTAACTGCAAACCCTAAGTCGTCATTTGTGAAATTGTTATCTCTGGAATCAGTAAAAATCAGCGAAGCTCTCCAGTTCTGTTAAATGTAATACTCGTTCAGAAGAAGAACGCGATCCATTTAGGCAGGGCTAACTTGATAATTGTTGTAGACAATCTGTTTTAGAAAAAGCAACTGTGTAACTAGCATGGAATAATTCTATTTCGTTTCAATTCACAAAGAAATCGTTTTTCTCTGAAACGATATTATAATTCCTTACAACCTGAAAAAGAGAAATGACATTATGAGCTTAAACAAATAATAAAATAATAAAAACGAAAAATAGCAAAGTAACACAAAAAGTCAATTTTTAACCAATTGAATTGAAGTCTTTTCACGCTGACATGACTGAGCTGCGCTGCTCTCTTCAAAGGATATCTTTGGCTTTCCTTATGTCACTTGTAGATGTGCAGTCGATCGGGCAAAAACAAAAAACAAACAAAAAAAAAACTTGAATCACAAAGTAATCCATTTTTAAGATGATTGTGTGTGACTCTACTCTTTTTTTGGTATCACTTTCTGCAATCATTAAAACATATTTTGGTTGATTCATTCACGATGAACGAAAACAACAAAGTTACAACTGAGCATAAAGCGACAAAAGGTCCTGCTCCATCATCTACGTTTCAAATGATTTTAAACTTTGTGCTCAGTTTTTTAACACAATATAAAACGAAAAACAGTACTACAACAGCTGAATAACAACAACAATGAAAACGACAAGAAAAAGGACTATAACACAAAACAAAACTACTCAAAACAGAACAAACAAACAATCAATTATTAAACAATTCAGACATTTGAAAGTGAGTCAACACCTTTATCAAACACGCCTTTGAGGGCTACAGGCTGTTAATGTCGAAAGCGTTTGAACCAGATAAAAAATTAGAAGAATTAAGGGCAAATGGCCGAGACGTCGTGCTAGTAAAACAATTTAAAAGCTGTGTGAATTGTTGCCTATTATCTTTAACTTATAAAAACTACAAAAAATTTAACTCGTTTCTACTATTTTCATGATATTTTACCAATTTGTGAATCAAACCAAAAGAAAAAAACTTCAATATAGAACCTGAGGAAAATATATGCGGCAATATCTAAAACCTTGACCCATTTATTATAGAAGTAGCTTTAAGTGAACAATTCCAACTAATTAGACTGCGTTGAGATCCTATTTACTTTACTCCACAAACCGATTGCTTCAAAAACATGCTTTTGATTGGTTAATTATCTAATCACGTGATATGGCCTTGTCTACCTTAGAAGTGGAATTAATTATTTGTAGAAAAATTAATTATAAGAAATGGCTAAGAAGCGACGACTTACCTCTTTAGTCGTGTTTTTTTATTATTTTCGATTGAAATAGTTAGTTAAAATTAAAATCCAAGATCATCCGCACAAAGAGACAAGTGCATGACTACTCAGTTATAATCTGTACCAATACATTTTATTAATTAAACTTTCAATATCTATATTCACGACAATTGATCGTTACTGAATCATACTTGTTATCTTAGAGTGTTGTAGGTATTTCTCTTAATGTCATATTTYAAATATACTATATTTAGCAGGGCCGTCCGTTTTTTAGCTAGAATCTCTGACAGCCTAAGTACTTAACTGTAAGTTTATTTGTTTGTTGTTATTGTTTTTTTTATATGCAAAACAAATTTGCTTTCAACATTTCTATGACGAAGTCTGCTAACTTTGAGAATAACAATTTCGTTCTTCTATTTGTTATTAAGAAGTATTTTTGTACATTGTAACACTTGTACACTATATTTTTGGGCAGCATCTCTACAATTAGGTGCTTTGGTAAAAAAACTTTATTAAAAAAGTGTTCTAAAAATGAAGCTAAGAGCGAAGGGTTTTGTGGGTACTCAGAGTTCAAATCAAACAAAGTTTACAAGTTCGAAGTTGTGTGAACTGCATCTATCAGCAATTCAACAAAACTAAGATTTTTGACTAAATATTTACTCGAATGGTGACTACTATCAAGTCCGGATAGTGTTGTGAAAAAAAAATTGCCTTCCCATGCTTCCCTGCGGTCTATCTTCAGTAATGTAACATTTTTGAAGCCGACAATATTACTTAAATTAGATGTATACAACAAATTAAAGATATGTTGTCACTTAAGATCCTAAGTCATAGTTCAAAGCTGATCTACATTAATTAATAAATCCTAATAAACTAAACTAATAAGAGTGATGAACCATTTATATTTTTTGAAACACATTCTTTTCACACTGAACTGATACAAATGATCAGCGTTCTTGCAATTATACCTGACTATATTTGATATAATCTTATTCATCATTATCATTTCCAAACATGTCCATTAAGGTCTCATTTTCTATGCAAGATCTGCAGTGTATCGGCTTTTGTGCCTTTTGGATGAAATCTTATTTCTTGTATCTTGCTTACTATTCTCCATATTTGATATTGAGTTATCCTGATCGTCAACTGACGTAGGACATGTAAAACAATGACTCAAATTTGGTGCATTGCTTAGCAATGGAATGCAACGCRAACAAGAATGTTTTATCTTGGAGACATAGCATAAAATGTTTGAACATTACATAGCCGCATCAAGTGACTATAGTGTACCATTTAGTCTGTAAAATTTATAAAATTTTAATTGAAAATTAATTATTCCTTGTAGTAGGGGGTTTTGCGCTTTCACTTGCGTGAAGTCAGAGAAAAATACAATGAACAATTATTTCCAAGACTATAGTGTAAGTGTGGTTATGCAGACGAGTCGGTGGCATTGAATATAGTTTTATTTGTATTTTTATTAACTTCCGCATATATCAATTTTACCTTTTTGTGAAAATTTTACTTCACCAGTATGTCGTTTGAAAAAACATTTTAATTACTTAAAAATATACATAATATATGATTTAAACATTATAAATTATAAATTGGTAAATTATTGTTTATTCTGTATTATTCACATGCAATTTATTGAGCAGCTTTCCTAAATTCCTTGAAAATTATTCTAAGTAATGCAATGTTCATAATTTTATTTTTTATTTTGTGTTCATATGACTAGCACATGGAAAATTATACCAGAAATCAGAGGGAAAAACAATTTTTTTGCACCATTAAAAAGCATTTCCTCTGATTTAAATATCGATCTTTGAAAGCATTTAACGAAGGCAAAAGCTTTAAGACAATAATTTATATAGATAAGCGTTAGTATTCCAATATGGATTTGCTTTTTTTTTGGTGTTTACAATTTGTGATAGCTAATTCATAATGCTTTTGTTCTTCTTGATCCCCTCGCAATCTCATTACTTTTTTCTCTATATATTGTCTATATTTTAGTAATGTTTTGTTTTAAAAGTGTTTGTTGTGCCAACCACTAAACGTCCTCCTCACACAAAACCTACAATATTTCTATATTGTTGTATGGTCAAGTAATTTGATAATAGAAGCTAATGTATGTTTCTAAGTGTTTCACTTTCATTAGACACGCACATAGCTCCCGCACTTTACTCTCTATTCCATTCGACGTAATTTGTTTAAACTTAACTCAAATAGATATATGCCTTGTCTGTCCCCTTTTATCTGATGTAAATCGTTAGTAATTACATCATGCTTCCAGTTCTAAGTCGCTTGATATTTCCATTTTTGATGATTTCAATAGAATGGAGTCTTTTAAATAAAGATAAAAGATCATGTAATCATTTATAGTGTCACGATGATGACGGATTTAAAAGGACACTAATGTTGGGTCTCACTCTTTTGTGATATTAGTGTTTGCGGATTAATATTTTGACAAAATAATTGCCTAACTACACTTCACTTGTTCTCACTTGTAATCGGTCAGGAGATATCTTTTTGGCTGTCACTCTCTTTAGCTTAATTCCTATAATAGTCTATTTATTTTATCATATTTTGTTTTCTTTCCAGTTTTATGTTATTTTTTTCGTATTTTCCCATTTTCATCCTAAATTCTATTTGATTTCGAAGTATTTCATCCTCTCTCTTTCCCTGTTCTCAATGTTCTTGCCTTCTGAAATTTTCTATCATTTTTCTGTCGTTCAATTTTTATCTCTTTCTTCCACGATGACGTCTTTTAAGTCCGTTTTGTTTCCTTGTTTTTAACAAGTTTCTYTTCTGTTTTCCGGATTCCTTTTTTGCTTAAAAGCTTTTTACTACTATCCCTTTTTCTTCATCATAAATGTTTTTTTCCAGATCAGACTTTTCAGCGGTAATTCTTATTCCCTGAGTCTAAACACAGCCCCACTCAAGTTGCTTAACGTACGCCTATGAAGTTTGATAAAAGCTGCGAGGGCTGAGTAGACAAAAAAATGAAAACAAATAAAATACAAAAACAAAAAAGAAGAGATACTTACAATAACCGGCTGTAAAAAATATAAATACAATAACAACAATTAAAAAAATATAACAACACGAAACAAAAGCACAAAAAATGACCACAAAAAACGCAAAAAACTGGATCATTTCTCAACTTACGCTATTTTTTAAGCAGTCCAATGAAAAAAAGAAAAAAAAAATTATAACATTTTTAATTTCCATATATTAGTAACGCTGACAATTATGAAGTAAACCCTATTTAGCCAATTCTTGTAGGAAAGCCAGTTTTCCTAAACAAGCTTCCGCTAATACTTTAAATACAGATTGAGATTTTCCAGCTTGTTTAGATCAAAGTCAAATGTCAAAATGTAAACGGTGCAAAAAGACGTTACTTAAATCGTTCAACGAGATGCCTTGCAAAATAAACACAGATGTCGAATGTTTCCATAATGAACGGGTTCATTTTTTTATCATGAATATTTCGGGGTCCGGAAATTATGGTACTTCTCAGTGAACGATAAGCGGAAAGAGTGACGCCATGCAAAAATATCTCGAAAAAGTTTGAGGTGAAAGTACGTGCAAGCACTTATCCGGCACATGCGCAGAGACACAGCACATAGCTCACGTGTCAGACAGACGTCATAGCAATCAATTGGTTGCTTTATCAGATATATGTGGGCATTGGAAATATAGAAAAATAAAACAAAAACAAAAAAACAAAACATGCTTTATAGAATTAGAATAGAAGGGAAAAGTGTAAATTAAAGTGAAATGACCTAGGGGAATATTTAAAAGACTTCATGACCGAGAGCTGCCAAGAGTAATCGAATCTTATCCATTTTATTTTGCGGTTAGCTCACCTACGTTGCCGATTTCTCAATTCAGGAACTTCAAATGATTCCACTCAGAAAATGCTTCGAGATGAGAGAAAAGCCTGGGAGTTTAATGCCACGACCATAGCTATTCCGGAACTAAAGGTCCTTGATCATGGTCGACTTACTTGACTGAAATTTGGACTTTAGCCAGTAACGAAAGTCAATACAAAATACAACAATCATCTCATAAACAGAGGCATATTCCATCAAGAAAAACATTTAAAGGAACTCAAAACTGTTAAGTTCCGGTTAACTAAATGTATTTACGAACAAAAGTTTTATTGAGTTTTTGATTTTTCTCAAAGGAAAGAAGTCAAAGGATATGGTCAACCACAACACTAACAATTCGTGATCCAAAAATAAAGTTAATAAGCAAAAATAGAGTCAGGAAAAGGTCTACATGGAAGATGTTCATGTCCATCCTTTGATATTGTTTGATATAGACGTAGCATCTTGATAAAGTTATAGCAATATTTCATTGCAGACCAGGTTACCATTTCGCGGTTTCAGAGGCGGTTGATATTGGGCACGTCGAACAGACTCAATACAACAAAAGATGTACATAAAACGATAATGTAATCCATATTCACATTATAGAGAAAGAGTTTAATTACTTATTCGCACTCAGTCTATGAAAAATCACTCCTTTTGCGTTACAAATGCTCATTCAATTACGTTACTACTCAAAGATATAAAGCCCTTCCATTTTGTATTCGAAGATGACCCTTAGATCAGGAATCATAGCCTGTGAATTTGGCATTCATTCTAATTAAATTACAAAGGGATCTTATTTTAGGACTTGAATTTCGAGCAATGCTTTTTAGTCAGTCTAGTAGTGATGTGTATTGTTGTAAAGCTAGTCAAAAAGGCGCCCCTAAATGTGTTTGAAGTTGGAAGTAGCAGCATCTAGTCTGTGTGGCGTCGTACTATGTTAAAAAGACATGAAATTTGTAAATAGTTGAGCCCGCTTTTGCTTGCACTTTATCAGCGTAGCTTTGATATTTTGACTTTTTTTTAGTTCTATCTTTTACTGATAACTCCTGTCACTCTAGGAAGCCAAATAGGTAATTAATGACATTATTTTGCTGGTAATTTACGGTTATCGATCGCACTCTACGGGTCTAGCTCTTTTTCAGTGGACACGAACAAAAAAAATATGCTGATTAGATTTTGTGGTAAAGACTTCTCTGAATAAAAGAGTGAATCATTGTTAAAATGGCTTATTTGAGTGACAGTGAAGGCGTTCCATCAAGTGAGATACAAGATTCGTTTAATGGCTTGTAAAGTGTAAGGGGTTGGCAAAGCTATTTCATCAAATGGACCTTATGCAATTTGATAAATTATTTGGCAGAATTTGTACAATGTTATCTGTGATGAATACTGAAGTTATCAACGATTTGTCTATGTATATCAAAAGGATAATCTAAGAAAAGATATACACCATTAATACTATTCCGTAGAGTAAAATTATGAAACAAAGCCAGTGCTTTTGTGGCAAAACAAAAAAGTACTGCTTTTAAAACATTTTCTCTGTCAGACCGCGTATGTTGTAATACCTTTAAGGAACATCGCGGCGTAACTGAGAAGCATCCATTATGAACCAAGTCATCTAAAAGCCATTTTCTCGTTAATGGATTTTTTGATGTGACTCCAGACCATAAAAAAATGCTTGGACCAGCCAAAAGAAATGACCGATAATATGGATAATGGGAAACTATAATTGTGTTTGCGAGAAGAAGTTATAAGAAAACTGGAAAATTAAAGTAGTGTCGTTGCTGTTCTGAAAATAGCTTGTTCAAGAACTTCTAAGGGTATGCAATATGTCACTTGAAAATTCCAAACGCTCTGAAACATCCGGAAAATCAAACCGGAAACACTTAGCTGGATAGAAATCCCCTGCTAATCATAACGTCTTGTTTTGTTCACATTATATGGACATATCCACGGACTTGGATACTATATAAAGCTATACATCCATCACATCCTCGTTTAGTATTGCTCATCGGATGAACCTAGAAGCGAAAAGTAATTCAGTAAGATTTGTTCATCAGAACGTGAAAGGCCACGTGCTAGTTCAAGGAATATGCCATGAGCGAGTGAAAGATAACGTGATTGACAGCTGTCACATTATTGTTGGGAGTGCTGGCAGCTCGCGCTTCTAAATGGTTTTTATTGAGTGCGAGTCGACAAGCCTCCACAATTAAGCTTTGTTGTTTGTTTAAAGTTGCATTTAGTAGACATGACTGACACTGCTTAATATCTCATTTCATGCGAACCGTCGTATCTTTCTTTCTTCTTCTTGTTGTCTCAGTACTTAAGAGTTTCCCTCCCCCTCTCTTGACCTCCTATTGTTAAGGTTACGAAAATAATGTCTCCAAACTGCTTAATAACATCGCGAGAACTTTACAGAGATTGTAAGTGTTTGTAAGGACGAAACGGCATTTCAATAAATGGCCACGTACCATTTAGAAAAACCTCTTGACAAATCATCCCTCGTTTGAAAGGCATTTTCAAGAGTCTAATTTACCACAATAGATCCATCTCCCTCAACTCTAAATTGAAGGCAAGTTATGTAGAATATTGAAGTTTTTTAGCAAGCGTCTGCTAGTCTAGGAGGGTTAAATCACAGGTCAATGTGCTACCGAACCGTATGAGCCATACAATTTTTGCTTGGAGTTGAGAGACACCACCACACAGCGAAGGAAGTTGATTATTTCCTTTTACGTAGACAGTAGGTCGGATATTGAACAGTGAAACTAGCAAAGCATCACGGCTTATATAAGGAGCATAGTTGAATTGGATTACAAAGTACACGCAACGGACCTAAAGCCTAAGCAATTCAAAACTCCCACCAAAGATCGGGGTAGAGTTAAGTGAACTGTACCAACGTTTGGAATTCGCGCGGAAAGAGTTAGAAATACAATTTGTATGAAAGCGTGTATTTTGGAGGGCAATTCATAAATAGCTCTGCTCCAGTCTCTTTATCATACACCATCAAGATGGTTGGTCCGTATTATCAGGTTTGAAATGACAAACCAGCTGATGTGTGCTTTGTTTTTCTTGACATCTAATTAAATCGATGACAGCTCAGGCACAGTGACGACCAGAACCATACTAGGCTGTACACTGAACACACTGTCACTAACGACTCTGGTTCTCGCTCGCGGTCACTCTTATTTAATTCTGGTTTTTATTTTGAATACAGTGTAGATTTGAAAGCGAACAAGAAAGAGCCTTCAGAATGGCGGGGATGTTTGGCAGGCTTCCACCTTACCCCATGAATGGTCTCAACTACCCTTCACCAAACTTCGATTATTTTGGCGCCGACGCTCATGGACAAATGTTTGGTAAGCTCTTTTACTTAAGCGAATCTTAGGCCATTGTTTCTTATTAATATCTGGGAAAACACACCAAGCTGTGTGTGGTTATAGGGGAGGAGAAGTAGGTGGAACGAACACGGACTTGATCTGTGTTGACGATTTGACTACTGACTCTCAAACAGTTATGTCGTCAAACAGATTCATGTGCCATATTTCTCATTAACATCATTGCTAGTTCAGAATGTTTAATAATGAGTAATCTTTTAGTGTTTATACAGGTATTTTGATGAGTAAAATGATCAAATAATGTAACCACATTTCGCGCATTTGCAGCGTCTAGAAGTAGGCATGCAATGACCAAACTGACACTATACGTGGATCGAGGACGCAATAACCAAACCAATAAAATGCAATACATGTGTGTCATCATCATTAAAGGGCACGAGAACAAAGCCAAAGAGAATATTTCACAAATTAGATATAGGAATCTCTCTAGCTTGTAATTCGTACAGGTGACAACGATAAAACAAAGTGTATGACCACAAAGAGAGTGCTTTCTCCTTCGTCGCACGAACACTTTTAGCTCCAACAGAAAGTTTTGATATTCAATATTCGACGGAGAAAGAATACGCTCTTTAAAATACCGAGAAACATTTAGCTACCGCAGTGCAAGACTTGTAGACTTTTGATTGATTTATTATACTACAGTCTATAAAGAATTGCGTCAAAAAAACACCGCAAAATTCATGTGATCTTATTTAAGAATGTCGTAAGAAAGCGGCAAATGAGACGATTTTTCATGAAATAGTACTCCCCACTCTGTGTGCAAATAGGAAAAGTTTTGCAGCCAGTCTTGGTATCCGTTGACAATCTCTTATTTGGGTATAGCCTTTTGGATCGTTTGAAATCAATCAAGTTCACTTAAACTTCAAAAACCTGAAAAGTTTTGACATAAAAGATTGAAGAAGTGTTTTAAAGGAACTATTTCAAAGTAAAAGGAGCTCTCTGTAAGTTTCTCAAGTTGGACTTTTGCGCGAAGATCATATCTTCAATGTTTACTTTGGTGATTTTTTTACTGAACAAGGCAGGACAAGACAAGAAAATGGAATGTCTAGCTTTAAATTCAGAAAACTGTTATAGAACTTACATAAAATCTTATGCTATTCATGTTTATATTTTTATCTTTTTTTTGTATGTTTAAAAGTGTTAAATCTTGCTTGCAGGATGTAGATATTGACAAATGATAAACGAGATTATGGTCTTTGATACACTAAGCTTCCAACTGACACGGCTAATTCTCTCTATTTGCTATGAGAGTTGTTTTGCAAATCTTGACGCCTAATACTTTCATAAAACAATACAGATAAAAACATAGTATAAAACTTCATCATTCTTTGCCCAAGTAATTAGTTTTGCTCCCTTTGCCGTCGACGACGAAGTCAGAAACTGTGGGAAATGGTTAAGGGTATTTGTTGGATCATCCAATCAGTCTCTCCTTCTTAAAACACTAAAAACATTACCTCGAATGAAATCTTTTTATTGTTTTATTTCTCGAAAAGGATACAKTCAAGTTTTAAGCTGCAAAAACTGAAAAACGAAAGATGAAACGAAATAAATCCAGCCAGTACTTCATTGATAAAGACTAGCCAAACTAAAGTAAATATAGTGAAGTTGTTTTTGTCGAATTTTCGAAATTCTGCTCTTCCTGAATCTGCATTATAGCAGTTATCACGCCCCTGTAGGGTTATTTTCATACATAGGTATCATGTTTTTATTGTGTCTGACAAGGAAACAACACAAAATTGTTCCTTTTTTAAGGTCTATTGGAATTTATCTTGGATGATAAGGTGCCTTTTGGCTCTCGACAGTAAACACTACACGGGCACGACAGAAATTCTATACAAAAACTACTAAATCGTCGATAAAAACATCAACGAAAGCTATCATATAGTGTTACCAAAATATAGATTATATATTTAATGAACAAATAAGAACAGTTAAAGCGTGCGCGTGTTAGTTTTTTGTCATAAGATGTGGTTGGACTTCACTCCCACAAAGAAAACTTCTACGTCTTGGGAATTGGTGTCGTTTTCGCGCTTTTTTGGATCTATTGTTTATAGTTTGTCAAAATAATCAACGCAACAGCCGCTTTAAGCTCATCGTTTGTGATTTATGTATAGATTATCATCCAACAATCAGGGCGGAGTTTTTTGAAGGGGTTTGGTTTTTGCGGTGAAAGCTAGTGTTAGTTATGAAAGACACTGTGAAAGATTAAATGTCATTTTATGGAGAAGTTTTCATTTGCTCCAAACAGCTTGTTTAGTTTATATATCAAAATGGTCACTCACCGAGAACTTGTTGATCTCGCATATATCTCCGTCAACGCAGCTTAGAAAGATCAATTCAGCTTAGAAATTCTCTCTTTTGTTAGCATTCACCACATACATACTATTACAGCAATAATCAGTACAATTTATAACTAAAATTATGAAGATTTCGCTTGCCATGGGCAGTGTCTTTTCGTTTCTGTTTACTTGTGAATCATTTCTTTATAGAGAGAGCTCAAGAGAGATTTGGTTCCAGTTTCAATTTTTCAAATTAATCATTGACAATACTGAACCCCAGTACATTTTTTCCTCGTTTTTTAAATTGTTCCCTGACAAATCAAAAGTGTAACGCTTAACTTGAACAAAGCAACAAGCCATCAATGAACGAAACAAAAAAAGCAAAAGTAACCCGTGCTTTTCTCCACTAAAGGAACAATTCTCCAATAAGTTGAAATGAAAGGCATATTCAGTCAAGATGCTCTGCTAAACGTCGCGAGCTAGTGAAAAAAAAGAGCTTGTAGAGAATCGATGAATTTCGCAGCATAGCGAAGAAGCAATCATTTTCCAATTTACAAAGAAAACTGGTTTCAATTATCCTGTCAGTCCTCTGTATCAAATCAAAGTTTGTCAAGACAACAGCTAGATATATAGGTTCTCTACATTAATAAAATGTTTATTCAGTCAACCTTTTCTACCAAAATAAGTGAAATATAAAAAATCGCATCTAGACATCGATGGGGTTCCCCTTATAGCAAAGACACAATCATGTTCCAATTTGCAATGAAAAGTTTATTCAGTCAACGTTGTGTGTTTTTCCTGAATAGAATTAAAACAACTTTTGTGACTACATGGGGGCTCGATCAGTTTCAGTAATATTTACTCAGCACAAGAAATGTTGTTTTAAGAAAAACACTGTGAGTCACAAGAAACGTTTTCTATGGAAAAGATCCCATCGAATATGTACACAATTCAGTCCAAATCAAACGAAACGCCAATAAAATGTCCACTTTCAAGTAAGTAGAGCCTTGTTTGATTTAGCTGACATCTTAGCTGTCTTATTTCGAGACCTATTCGAAAAGATACCTTAACGAATATAAGGCCAACGTACAGAGCTGTAAACGTGGCGCAAAACTGTTTTGGGATTTTAATAAATGCAATATCTATTCAAAGCACCAGGGGTGCAATTGGCCCATAGGTTTTAGGGATAATAGAGGATAGGGTCAGCTATTCTCCGAAATTGAAAATCTTCTATCTTCACTGAAGGCTTAGGTTGCCAACTACATGTATTAGAGCTAATGCTTTAATGATGGCGCCTGCATGGTTTTCAAATCATGATCATACTTCATAGGCGGACACGCGGCCTTCAATGACATAGGGTAAATATGCAGTTTTGAATTGGCCTACTTGCTTACGGCTTCTTGTACAGATTGATTTGTTGGTATGTTTTTTTGTCGGTTAGAAGTAGGAATACAAGTATTTTGACAAGAACGAGGTCGTTGTGGATTGGGAAAAAAGACCTCCCACATTGTTAAATACGCTAATCTCGGTTCACTGTTTCAACATGAATGCTTTTTAAGCACTTGAGATTGTAAAAGAGTATATTCAAAGCAACTAAAGCTAACGTGTAATGAGAGTTTTACACGGCACTCGTTGTCTGTCTTCGAGTTTTGTTTATAAACATGGCTGACTAATGAGTTCTTTAATCTTTGCGTTGTTTCTTCATTGAATGGCTGAGTCTGAAATGCTTTAGAGTAAATAAACGTTCTTTTTTTATGCAGGGCCACCAAGAAAACAAAGAAGAGAAAGGACGACTTTCACAAAGAACCAGCTAGAGATTTTGGAAGAGCTGTTTGCCAAGACGCGTTATCCTGATATATTCATGAGAGAAGAGGTTGCAATCAAAATCAATCTTCCTGAATCAAGAGTACAGGTAAGAGATTTGTTATAGCGTCAAGGCCAAGTTTCCAATATGAATTATGAAATGAAACTTTCTGCATTTGCTGTTTTGAGACTCAAGAAGAGATATTTTTGTCTGGAAAACTACATTTGAATAGAAAAGAAGTCATTTTCAGCTTTGATTCTCATCTTGTACACGAACAGATTAATGTAGTGCTGCTCAAATTGTTATACGTACTTGAAGTTGTACAAATCACCGTTTCATATTTCACGTCAGCTTACTAAATGAAGAATCATTTTCTGAGAGCAAAATTGGAAAAAGTCAGCATCACTGAAAACTTGTAAAGCTCAGTGACATGCACACAACAATTGGCGAAGAGGTTCTGAGGAAAACGGGCAAGGACGCAGTATCTTTTGTAAATTGTCGCTAATAGAAAGGGGGCTATTGATCTGCGCAAATTTTCATTAATTATTATTGGTAACACTTTCGACTTTTCGTAATTTTTTTGGCTGTTTGTGTATATCCAATTGTATATCGGAATGAGTGTATGGCCTTTTGGAATTGATCAGTTTATTCGGATTTGTTTTTAAAGGTGTGGTTTAAAAACCGAAGAGCAAAACTTCGTCAACTAAATAAAGGACAATCGAAATCCTCACCGAAACCAGCCAAACGAAAATCACCGTCACCAGAACCGCAACCAAACAAGACACCTTCACCTCCCGTAACTAACCATTACGTCAACAGTAACCCATGGCAACAACAAGGAGTAGATATGAGAATGCCAGTGGCACGATCAAATTATCAGCCTCCACCAAACATGATGAATGGAATGATGGGTAATGTTATGAATGGAGCGTGCGCAGTAGGAGGATCAGGACCAAGGTTTATGCCGCCCCATCCACCACCGTCAGCATATCATCATCCCTCGCAGGACTATCCATATATGGGCAATAACAACAATGGTGGGATGAACAGCAGCATGCCGGGAAATCCCAATGGACCGCCCAACTATTATTCGTCATCTATGATATAAATGGAAATTTCAATACAGATTCATCTAAATATATGTATATAATATTATGACAATTACCGTAAAAAAAAACTCTATTTCAAGGTTTTTCATCTATGAATAATGAACAGAACGTCGAAGAGCTTGATGCTTTTATAATTGGCTATCCAATCTTTCGCAATGTGCAATAATGTAGTGTAACTGAAGTCTAGTCTTCTTAGCCTCGAAAGCTTAGCACTGTATAGCACAGCACATATCATGTATGTCTCTTTCTCCATGTTAACCATGCACTGTAGTCGCTACATTGTGCTTTACAGCTATTTAAAAAAGGTTGTTGGAGTAAATAGTGAATGGAAGTTGCACGACCGAAAGGCATGATGGGTAATGAATATCTGTGTAATTAWTACCAATAATTAGATATTTTTGAATCATATGAAAATTAAATAGTAGAAATACATTAACAAGATCTAAATAATTACTAGGATCACACTTGTATTGATAATGCAGTCATAGTTCCTTTCAGTCATGCAATTCCCTTTTTGTGTCTTTTTTTCAGACAACATTTATTGAATGAGCGATATGCAGTTCCTTCTGAGTATGTWTAGGTTTGCGCTTTCGTAGCTTGAGTAGGTTAGGACGTAACCATGCATTCAAATCATCCAATTAAAGTCTTTATAAAATGTTTCTAGCAGATAAAAACAAGTCAGTTTAGTTAGTCATGAAATACTTATGTGGCTCTCAAATTAGTTCAACAGTTATTATATTTATTAAGTGAGTTGTTGGGCAAAAGAAATCCCTCAGAATAGTATATATTCATCTGATAACCGGTTTACTATCCTTAAATATGTTACTAAAATCATTGTGAACTTGATGTTTTCAATCATTCGTCTAAATAAAATGTGATATTGTGGAAACCGACAGGGGATCCTTAACTATGTAAGGTTGTTTAAAGGTCGTCATTATCAATGTGAAATCCTTATAGAACCTAAAAGTGCACCTAGAAATCACTTTTTGTCAAAATGGGGGAAATGTTAAACCTAACCCTTGCGAGAAAAAAATACTTATTTGAATTTATGTCTGATTCAAAAGCATTTGAAAAGTGACAATGCAAATGGAATGACGTAAGCCCGCCAGAGATGATTTCATATGCTAAAAAAAAATCAAAAGGAAAACTTTATTATGATATTATTCAGGGCAGGACTCATGCCTTGACAACACAAACGCAATCAATGAAGGCAGTCTAGTCCAATTCCTAGGTCATCTAGTGACGTTACTTATTTGCATTTTTTCAAATGCCTTATTATTACAGATTTATTTCGCTCAGAAAGTAAATTAAAGATTAATTTCTTTCGTTGAGGAAGCATTTTGCGCGGATGAAAGCTATTCTGGGAAGAAGTTAGGTTCACTCTAACTACTTAATTCTTTATGTTTATTTGAGTGATGTATCTGGTACAGAAAGCATTTCCCTTCATAATACATGTAACCCAGTTCCTGCCATATTATTATAATTAAAGAGCTTCTGAATAAATATAGCAGGCTACGCTAGCGACCTTTGATGACCATAGAACAGGCGTTTATATTTTCCTAAAACATTTTCTCTCCTACAAGGAACAGAATAAATGTTCGTAACATTACTTGCTCTGAGCTGATTTATCCACAATAACCATAAATACAGATTTTTTTTGTCCGTTAGCGCAACACCTATCGATATTAGTTTATTTTTCTATTATTCTGTGTTACAACGTCCTACAAGCGTAAGCAGAATGATATAACTTTTCGTTCTTGCCCAAACATCTCCGTGTACTGAGACCGTTTTCTTAATGATCCGGCAACGTGTGTACAGCCTGAATAGCCTTTGTTAGAGTTATAAATCCACGTTTGACAAGTGATATCGCGTCGACGCGTGTCGAGTACTGATTTCCTGAAAACTGATCCATACTTATATTTCAAGCATTGGCTTGAAGAGCTTCAATTAGACCAGATTTCACTTATAACTGTGCAACGACACGGATATCACCGTCAAGGCATTATCGAACTCTCTTTACAGCTAATGTTTGTTTAAGACAAACTAGGAATAAGTATGATTAATGCGCTGTAATCAATCAATCAATCAATTAGCCAATCAATCAATCAACCAATCAATCAACCAGTCAACCAATCCGTCAGTCAGTCAGTCATTTATGATCAATCAATCTTGATTAATATTTATACAACCATCGTCATGTAATTGTAATTCTACGGTATTCCAATGATACTTAGCAAACTAGAGAACCTGCATGCTGTTTATTGTTAGACTCATCTTATTATATATGACATAGTGATAGTTATCGGCAGACGTATCACGACAAGCTGTTGATTGTAGACTAGTCCATATCGCAGATAAAGATCCTGCAGATAACCTATGCTACAAACTTTCTACAACGAGGATAACCTATGGTGGAATATTTTTAACAACGAGACAACAGAGATTCATTCCCCTGCAAGAAAAACGCTTTCGATTCAACTTAGAAATGAAAGTAAAAGTCTTTTTGGCTTTAAAAATTCATTTCTGTACCCCCTGCCCATCAAAATATATAAATATATGATATATTATTGCTTGCCGTGTCATCCAAAATGGCTGCCATTACGTGATGTAAAGACCACAAACGTCTTACACTGTAAATGTGATTGTGAAGTGTATGATTGTTGGATTAAGAAAACCAACCTTGATGTTATGGCTCACCAACCACAATTGCTCGGTAACGCACAACCGGGACTAGACGCTTTTAGAGTGTTTACTCGGGCTGCATCATAGACTTCATTTGATAAATGATCATGTCACATTCCCTAATTAATAGAACTTATTCACGCGATACATGTCGGCTATGGTTTGTTTTCCCAGGTTTCGTTTGAAATAAGGCAAGTTGTATCCCATTTCCCTCGTTATATACAACATGAATTCCATGATTAATAAGATACATTCACAATGCCGTTGTCCAGAATTTGAGACGGCGTTCAATCACAAGGAAGTTTGTCGCAAGGATCACGTTGTATATGATGTCACAATTTACAGAACATATCAGCAATATTGGTTAAAGATGGTTTGCGCAGGTTTGGTTAGCATCCAGTTTAATATTATTAGAAGTAACTTCACGTGTTTGCCCTGGTCTTATTCACAAAAAGTCAAATCGGGAGGAATAGCATCAAATTTTACTGTAAAAAACGTACAGTTAAGCTGGTTGACCTGTTTTTCCTTGACATTATAGACAGCTACCATGCACGAATTTTCAAGGGACCGAAACAACTTCTCGGTCGGCAGGCACATATCAAACAATTGTATGTCATTTGTGCGGGATCCCTGTGCATTTTAGTTTCGGGCTTCCTTTAGCGAATCCATATATGGAAGCAAACTAAATGGCCGATTGTTTAAAAGTGTTTTTGCTAT